TCTCCTGCTTCCGGCCCACTGAAGCTGGAGGCTTTTCTTCACTCAGCTGCTGGCTGCTGTGGCTGACAAACCCAAGATTGACAAGTAAAAAAGGCATAGTCCCGATGTCAGGCATGCCATAAGTCAGAGACTACCCAACACTTTTCCTTATATTCAGGAAGCAGACCACATCCCTAAGGCAGTTACTCAGCTTCTCACAGTAGACTCCACCATGGAGTTAATTACCAGTCTCATCATGGGGAATGCTACATCCCCACTCAACCAGGCTTAGCCAAGTGGACACACAAACTTAACTACCACAATTCCACCCCTTGTCAACTTGGCACCTGTACAGATCTTCAATAGGTACAGATCTCCTTCACTGGGTCCCTTAGTTCCTGAGTGGTGACCTCACCCCCTTGGCCTGGCAGGCCCCCCCGTTCCTCCACCTCTTGGGCATGGTAGCCTTGCCCCCTGTCTCTTGGGCAGCGGCTATTACTCCAGCCCACTGGCTCACATGGACAAGCAGCCACATACTCTAGAACCAACTTGATGAAAGTCTAACTCTTTGAAACCTAGGGGGCTATGGTGGTTCCACCCCCGGAGGCCATGGTCCTACCCATGAGGCTGAGGCTGCTCTGCTTCACATTTCCTTGGTCTCTCTGCTTCTGCAGATTAATGCTGAAGGCAACCCACTCCGCAGGAAATCTTCCTGCCCTGAAAGCCCTCAGCTTTCTTGCTCTGTGGGCCAGCCAACCTGCTACTCCATCTCATGCCAGTCTGTTCCACAAATTAATGCCCGAAGGCCAGGAAGCTGCCTACCCAATGGCACCCGGCTTTCTCCTCCATGGGCTGGTAAGGCTGTTGCTGTTTAATGCCAGTCTCTGGGCTCTGCTGTTGTCATCTCTCATGCTGGTCTCTCTGCTGGATTTCTCTGCCAGTCTCTTGGTTCAAGGACACACTCCACTCCTGTTTCCACATTTTAGGTATCTGTCAGAGTAGCACCCTGCTCTCTCGGTACCTTATCCTGTTTTGGTTACCCAGTGCCGCTCTTACAAGAATATACCACAAATGGGATGGCTTGAAGAAACAGGAGTTAATTTTCTTACAGTTTGGAGGCTTTAAGTCCGAGTTCAAAGTGCCAGGCTTTAGGGGCTGGGTGAAAGCCCCTCAACCTTGGGTTGCCAGCTCCCAGCCCACTGAAGCTGGAGATTTTTCTTCACTCAGCTGCTGGCTGCTGAGGCTGACAAACCCAAGGTTGACAATTAAAAAGGCACAGTCCCAATGTTACCAAACCACATGACAGGCCATTGATTCAAGTCCATTTAAAGTCCCAAGGTTGGCAGAGCATGGCAGGCTGCTGAACAACGACATGGCTATGTGCAGGGTTCAAGCATGTCATAAGCTAGAGACTGTCCCCAAGGCTTCTCCTTATATACAGGAAGCAGACCACATCCCTAAGGCAGCTACTCAGCTGCTCACAGTAGATTCCACCATGGAGTTGATTACCAGTCTCATCATGGGGAACACTATGTCCTGCTGCCCAGCCACTTAACCAGGCCCAGCCAAGTTGAGACACAAACTTTACTACCACAGTCTTCCTTATTCATTGTCAAGCTTTCACATGCACATGAGGAGATTGAAAATACCATTGCTTGGGTTAGGCACACCACAGTCTTCAAATTGACATCTTTGCTTTTTAACACTTTAAGGAGGTCCCTTGCAGCAGATTTGCCCAGTGCAGTATGGTACCTGATTTCTTGACTGCTGCTCAGTGTTGATTGAGGATCCAAATAAAATGTAATCCCTGACAACCTCAGTCTTCCCTCCATTTATGATGATGTTATTTATTGGTCCAGTTGTGAGGATTTTCATTTTCTTTATGTTATGGTGTAATCCATACTGAAGACTGTAGTGTTTGATCTTCATGAGTAAATATTCACGTCATCTTCACTTTAAGCAAGTAAGGTTGTGTCATCTGCATATCACATGTTGTTAATGCTTTTTCCTCCAATCCTGATGCTGCATTCTTCTTTATATACTCCAGTTTCTCAGATTATTTGCTCAGCATACAGACTGAATAATTATAGTGAAATGATAACAACCCTGACACACACCCTTCCTGATGTTAAACCATGCAGTATGCCCTTGTTCTGTAAGAATGACAGTCTCTTGGTGTATGTACAGGTTTCTCATGAGTACAGTTAAGTGCTCTGGAATTCCATTTTTTGCAATTTGTTATGATCCTCACAGTTGAAAGCCCTTGCACAGGAAATCCCTTAATTTCTGCTTATCTGGAAATGTCCTAATTTCATCATCATATTTGAGGGCAGTTTTGCTGGGTACATAATTCTTGGTTGGAAATTTTTCTCTTTCAGGGTTTTATATATACCATCCCACTGTCTTGCCTGTATAGTTTCTGCTGAGAAATCTGAGCTTAGTCTTACTGGTTGCCCCTTGTAGGTAACTTTTCGTTTTTCCTGTGCTGCTCTCATGATTCTTTCTTTGATTTTCTGATTGATCCCTTTCCAAAGAAGTGCTCAATATTTGTCTTTAATCTCACTCAATCTGTCTTCCATCGACTCAGTTCTGTTCCTTTGCCCATTCAATGTGTTATCTATTTCTGAAAATTTAGTATTAATCTTCTGGATTTCTATGTGTAGATTTTGTATCATTTCTAATTTTTCATTTATTTTGTCATTTTGTTTTTGTATTGTCTTTTGAAATTTTTGTAGGGTTTTCTCTGTGTTTTCCTCAATTTTGTCAGTGTTTTCTTTGATCTGTCTCTCAATTCGTTGAAGGTACCTAAATATAATTCATTTGAATTCCTTGTCAGGGAGTTCCAATGCTGCATCTTCCTCAGGGATATGTTTTGTGTCTGTATCCTGGTCCCTTGTTTCTCCTGTTTTATCTTGCTGCTTTGTGTGGACTGTGATGCTCTGTTGTCTCTGAGGCATTGTGACATTTTTGTGTTTATATTTAATTGGTGATTATATTTTGGAGTGACTTGCTCATGATTTTTATTTGTATTTTTCTGCGTAAGCAGGGTACTGTGCTGTGTTCCTCTGTTCACTAGTTGACAGCACTTACACACTCGCCACCTTTCTCCTTTCCTGTTGTTAGCCTCTCGTATGTCCCTGCCAACCTTGGTGAACAGAGCCTATTCTTAGGTCCAGGGGGAATCCGAATGAGAGTGCTATCACTTTAAAATCCAAAGTGGTTGTCACTTATAAAGATTCAAAATGGCTGCACCCTCAGTCACTTTAAATATCCAAAATGGCTGCTGTGTATAAACAATCAAAATAGCTGCGCTTTCCAGACAGCCAAAAGTCCACAGCTCAGGTTGTCTCCCTCCTTACTGTTTCCGTTCCTAGTCATAGGCCATCTGTGTAGTCATCCCTGCAGCCCTTGGTGACCAGGGCTGATCTTTAGGTCAATTCTCAGATCCCAACACCGTTTGGAAATATTCAGGCTGATGGCCCCGTCAGAGTAGCTAACAGTCCACACCTCTGACTGTCTCTGTACTCACTGTTTTTATTCAGGTTTTTCCACTAGTTGGTGCCTATTCCACGTCTATATAGTTCCTTTCAAAGCTCAGGGTTCCATGATTATCTTCTGTATCTCTGTCAATTGGTTTTTCTTTGTTGAAGAGGGTCTTTGTCCTTGTCTGCCTATTCCTCCCTCTTCTCATTATGAAATATCTTTTGATACTAGAAATAATTGGTGTCATGTAGTCTCTTTTGTCTGATATTAATATAGCCATAATTATGAATAATTTTTCATGGCATATCTTTTTCCATCCTTTTGCTTTTTAACTTTTTTTGTTTTTGTATTTAAAGTAGGTATTTTAGTGACAATACTGAATTACTTTGGGTAAACTGTAAGGACATCAGAATGTTATGTTTGGGAGAAGTAGATGAAGGATACACAAGAATTTCCTGTACTATTTTGCAACTTCAGTTATTTCAAGAGTATTCATTGTTGCTTGTTGATATATTTTAAAACAGATTTTTAAAATCCTTGTCTGATAATTCCAGCATTTGAGTCATCTCTTCATTGTTACCTGATTGTCTTTTCTCATCTGAGTTGAGATTTTTCCTGGTTTTTGCTATAATAAATAGATTGTTGCTTGGTCATTTTGAGAATTATATTGTTGTTGTTGTTGTTGTTATGTGCCGTCGAGTCAGCCCTGACTCATAGCGACCCCTCCTTGGGTTTCCAAGGCAATATCACTACGGAAGTAGGATTGCCCAACCTTCCTTCTTCTACTTAAATCTTCGTAGTAGCAGACAGCTACTGGGGAGAGAGTAAGAGTGCCACCTCTTGGCTGATGTTTGCCTCATATAGGGCAGGAGTGATCAACAGGGCTTTGCCTCACAGTCTCTCATTAGTATAAGCTAGAGGTGATCAAAAAGGTTTTACCCCACAGAGTTCACAGTATCTAAAAAGAAGTGTTCCATCCTGTAGGGCCATTTTCTTTCCAGTCTTTTAATTAGAGCCAGTGAGATTTTCTTAGGGCTTTTTCTTCTTTGCCTATTGTAGTTCCAGGTTGTGGAATACATCGAAGGTATAAATAAAACAAGACAAAAATCCAGGGAATTCATTGCTGGGTTTTCCCTCACATTCTAAAGTCCCTAGTCAATTTGTCTAATTTTATTTAATTTTCATATTCTTCTAATAGTTGCTTTGGTCGTTGGTGTAAGGTTTTTAGTTGCCATTAGCAGGAAGGATAGGGTGATGTATGTTTTCTCCACCTCTTCTAGAACTGTCCAGTCAGTTTCTGACTCATAGCAATCCTTCCATGGGTTTCTGAGGTGGTATCCCTACAGAAGTAGATTGCCCAGTCTTCCTTCTGAGGAGTGGCTGGTGGGTTTGAACCGCCAGCCTTCTGATTAGCAGTCAAGTGCCTTAGGCACTATGCCACCAGAGCTCCATTTGAGGTTTTTTTTTTGGTCTAGAACTGTTTCAATATTGATTTCTGTATTTTGTAATTTTGTTTATTTCCTCTTTTTATTTTTCAGGCAAATGAAGATAAAACAATGTCTACCAACCTAAAATACCTATCCTTGGGAATTTTGGTGTTTCAGACTACCAGTTTGGTTCTAACAATGCGTTATTCTAGGACTTTAAAAGAGGAAGGACCTCGTTATCTGTCTTCTACGGCAGTGGTTGTAGCTGAACTTTTAAAGATAATGGCCTGCATTTTACTAGTCTACAAAGACAGCAGTAGGTATCTAGGTATTTTGCTTTGTATTTTTAAATAAACAAACACAATATATTGTTTGTTGTTACTTATATGTCATATGTGTATATACCAAAACCAAAACCAAATACTGCTGTGGAGTCGGATCCAACTCACAGTGACCCCTCCTTGGGTTTCTAAGGTGGTATCACTACGGAAGTAGATTGCCCCATCTTCCTTCCGAGGAGTGGCTGGTAGATTTGATCCACCAGAGCTCCCATTATACATATATAGGTAACTACATATTCAGTTATTAGTATCTAATGGCCTAGTATTAAATGCATTTCAATATTTTTTATTATATAAAGCAATTTTAGTCTAATAAGGTATTTTATTCTGTACACCATGATTTATATATTTGGCTAATATGCTGTAAATATGAATCATAATTTCTTATATTTACAATAAGTTAAGAGTAAGATTATCAAACATATAATTAAGATACATTGACAATTACTCATAATTGGAATGTGTAAGTTGGAAAGAAAGAAGAAGGATCAGTAATTGGAAAATATATCATTGATAGAAATAACACCAGCAATTGCATGATAGAATTTTGCAAGGCCAATGACTTATTCATTGCAAATACTTTTTTCAGTAACCTACATGGCAGCTATACACATGGACCTTGGCAGTTGGAATACACAGGAATTAAATCCACTGCATCCGTGGAAAGTGATGATGGAGAAACTCAATAACATCAGTCAGAATAAAGCCAGGGGCCAACTGTGCTCACATGCAAGTTCAAATTGAAGCTGAAGGAAATTCAAATAAGTCCATGAGAGCAAAGTATGACCGTATATATCCCACCTGAATTTAGAGGCCATCTCAGAAATAGGTATGACTCCTTGAACACCAATGACAGACGACCAGATGAGTTGTAGGATGACATTGAGAACATCATACATGAAGAAATCAAAAGGTCATTAAAAAGGAAAGAAAGAAAAGATGAAAATGGATGTCAGAAGAGGCTCTAAAACTTGCTCTTGAATGGAAATGTAAGAAATGATAAAGTAAAAGAACTGAATACAAGATTTCAGGGGCAACTAGAGAAGACGAAGTAAAGTATTCTAATGAAATAGGCAAAAAGTTAGAGTAAGGAAACTGAGAGGGAAGAACACGTTTGGCATTTCTCAAGCTGAAAGAATGGAAAAAAAAACTAAAGCCTCAAGTTGCAATATTGAAGGACTCTACAGGCAAAAAATTAAACAATGGAAGAAGCATCAGAAGAAAATGGTAGGAATACAGGGTCATTGTACTGTGTATCAAATGGTTGATTGATGTTCAGCCATTTCTGAAGGTTGCATATGATCAAGAACTGATGGTATTTAAGGAAGAAGTTGAAACGCATGAAAGGCATTGGCAAAAAAATAAGGCTCTAAGAATAAACAGAGTAACAATGAAATGTTTTAACAAATGAATGCAAGGCTAGAAATACTCATTTTGGTATGTCAAGAAATTTCATATGACTGGAGGATAGTCATATTTGTGTCAATTCTAAAGAAAGATGATTCAGTGGAATGCAGAAATTATTGAACAATAGTGGCATGTAACAACAACAGGATTAATATCACATGCAGGTAAAGTTTTGCAGAAGATAATTCGAAAATGGTTGCAGCAGTATGTTAATAGGGAACTGCCAGACATTCAAGCTGGATTCAGAAAAAAATTCGGAATGAGGAATATCATTTGCTAGTATTACATGGATCTCAAAGCCAAGAATACCAGAGAGATGATTACCTGTTTTATTGACTATGCAAAGGCACTAATTGTGTGGATCATAACAAATTATGGATAACATTGTAAAGAATGGGAATTCTGGAGCAATTAGATGTGCTCATGAGGAACTTACATATAGACCAGGAGGCAGCCATTTGAACAGAACAAGGGGATATGAATGGGTTAAAATCAGGAAAAATGTCTCTCGGGCCTATATCCTTTCACCGTACTTAATGAGCTGTATACTGAGCAAATAATCTGAGAAGCTGAACTACATGAAGAAGAACATGGCATCAGGATTGGAGGAAGACTGATTAACAACCTGTGATAAGCATTTGACACACATATACAAGCATGCTTGCTGAAAGTAAAGAAGACTTGAAAATCGCTTACTGCTGAAGATCAAAGACTACAGCCTTCTGTGTGAATTACATCTCACCATAAATAAAACAAGAAATCCTCACAACTGGACCAAAAAGCATGGTAAACTGAGGAAAGATTGAGGTTATCAAGGATTTCGGTATATTTGGATCCACACCCAACGCCCATGGAAACGGTAGTCAAGAAATCAAACAATGTATTGCATTGGGCAACTATGCTGCAAAAATCCTGTTGGAAGTGTTAGAAAAAAAAGCAAAGATGTTACTTGGAAGGCTAAGAAGCACGTGACTCACTCCATGGTCTTTTCAATTGAGTCATATGCATGAGAAAGCCAGAAAATCAATAAAGAAGTTCAAAGAAGGGTTGCTGCCTTTGAATTTTTGTGTCAGGGAAGAATATTGAATATAATATGGACTGCTAGAAGAATGAACAGATTTGTCTTAGAAGAAGTACAGAATACTCATTAAAAGTGAGGATGGCAAGACTTTGTTGAAACATTGTTTTTCTTTATGTATTCATTTGGAGAGACTCCATTGGTTCTGGAGCTGAGTTTGCTGTAATCTTTATGGAAGCTGCTTGGTAAGTGTGAGTCTTCAGTGGTGCCATGGGGTGGGTTCAAACATGCAACCTTGGGGTTGTAGCCGAATGCAAACCGTCTGCCACACAGGGACCTTGAGACTTTCTCTTTCACTGGACCTGATATCAGGAAGTATTAGTCTCTGGAGAGGGACATCATGCTTGTTAAAGTAGAAGGTCAGTGAAAAAGGAAGACCTGTAATGACATGGATTGACACAATGGCTCCAACAATGGGCTCAAACATTTCCATGATTGTGAGGATGGAGTAGAACCAGACAGTGTCTGATTCTTGTGTACATAGTGTCACTATGAGTCAGAACCAACTTGTACATCTAACAGCAAAGAGTAAGTTCTATAACTGTTAGAACCCTAGAAAAGTCATAATCATTTTTTACTGAAGTCAAGACTTTTTATTTTATTTGCTCATTGATTAGTTCATCAGTGACTAATTTGGTATATTGTTGAAACCCTCATAGTGGCCATTGTGGCTGGAGCATATTGAGCTGGGAGGATAATGAAACAAAGAGAAACTGAATGAGTATTGTCCGAAAATAGACAATGCACAATGGCCTTGTAGGCCATGAATTTCATTGTGATAGCAAAGGGAAATATTTGAGGAGTTTAACATATAGTCTGTTTTGCACACTAATAGGTCAATCTGACAATGGAGGAGGTGTAAGAATAGGGACAGGGAGCCATATTAGGAAGCTTTTGTACTAGTCTAGGCCAAATAATGTTTGTTTCGACTGAGGTGGTGTAGTGATGCTTGTGGAGTTAGAGACCATACCATACAATTGCATGAAGTCGTCTCGACTCATGATGACCCCACCTGTGTCAGAAGTAGATCACCAGGTCTTTATTCTGAGATGCTTCTGGGTGGACATAAATTGCCAGTCTTTAGCAGTCAAGAACATTAACTGTTTGTCCCACCCAAGGACTTGTTAGAGGAGAGGGGCATCTATCCCTTTCAAAACCAAATTATTCTTTGCTTTAAAATTTGTTTAAACCTTGTGTTCTTAATAAAGGAAGGCATTTTAAATTAAATGAAAAAAACTTTTTTTTGTTGTATTTTTGAGGTAATAATGGAATTTGATACAGTTAGTAGGGTACATATATCCTGAGGGATCGCTGGTGCTTGGATTGGTGGGTTGAAACCTGTTTCTTCAGAGTCACACAGTTATGCAGTTTCTCACAAAACCTCAGAGGTAGAATGTGTAGATGGATAGTGTTTGTCCCATGGGTCACAAAAAGGTTATGAGTGGTCTTTGTTAAGCTTACATGACTTGCTGACAGATTGGATGTGGGAAGCTCAGGCAAAAGGAGAAGTACAATTTGGAGGGCAATACCTAGATTTTAAGATTTAAACAACTGGATAAATGAGTATTATAATATGTAGAAGATAGTTTTTTTGAGGAAATTAAGGTTTGTCTTTGGGTCATAAAATTTGAAATGCCTATAAGGCATTCAAATTCTGATGTCAAATAGTGGAGCATATATAATTGAAAGTGAAGTAGATGCCTGTAGAGCATGGTGTTTGCTCTTCCTTTTTTTGCCTGAAAAAAGAACCAGATGTACAGCAGTCATTTTGTGACCTTGTTGCAATAACCATGTACACAAGGAATAAAAAAAAAACATGAAGATAAAAGCCAGTATGTACTAAGGATGGCAAAGTAAAAAGAGAAGTAGAGAGCCTCAGTGAAGTATTGGGCCTGACTCATGGTGTGTTAGACAAATTCTCATGGGTTTAAGCCAGTGTTAGTTGGGTTTTCTGTAGTTTGCAGCCAAACTTATTTCCTATCTGTTTGACCTTCTTTTTGTCATGAAAGTCTTCACAGGTATTAGTTGGCATAGATGGCTGATGATAAAATAGAATGTAGAAAAATTTTATTATGCTATTATAATAAAGTAAGAATACTTGGTTGACAAATTAGTACTTTGAAGTTTTGATTATCATAAATATTTGTGTATATAAGGAGTTCTGGTAGCACAGTGCCTAAGGCATCTGACTGCTAACCAGGTTGGTGGTTCAAACCCACCAGCCACTCTGTGGAAGCAAGACTGGGCAGATCTTCCATAAAGATTAGTGCCTTGGAAACCCAATGGGGATCACTGTCAGTTGGAATTGACTCAGTGGCAGTGGGTTTGATTTTGGTTTTATATGTGTAATTTGATTGTGTATCAGAATGAAAGAATATAAGGATAATACCCTTCCTCACAACTGGACCAATGAGCAGCATCACAATAAATGGAGAGAAGATTGAGGTTGTCAAAGAATTCACGTAGCTTGGTTCTACAATCAATGCCAACGGAAGCAGCAATCAGGACATTAGACGACGTGTAGCATTGGGAAAGTCAACTGTGAAGGAACTGTATCAAGTGCTGAGGAGCAAGGATATCTCCTTGAGGTCTAAGGTGCGCCTGACACAAGCCATGATATTTCCATTCGCCTCGTATGCATGTGAGAGCTGGACAATGAATAAGGAAGACCGAAGAAGATTTGATGCTTTTGAGTTGTGGTGCTGGCAAAGAATGCTGAAAGTACCATGGACTGCTAAAAGAACTAACAGATCTGTCCTGGAGGAAGTGCAGCCAGAATGCTCCTTGGAAGCAAGAATGGCCAGACTTCGTCTCACCTATTTTGGTCATGTTGTCAGAAGGGACCATTCCCTGGAGAAGGATGTCATGCTTGGTAGGGTGGAGGGTCGACAAAAGAGGGGGAGGCCTTCAACGAGATGGATTGACATGGTGGCTGCGATGATGGGCTCAAGTATAGCAGGGATTGTGGGGCTGGTGCAGGATCGGGCAGTGTTTCGTTCTGCTGTGCATGGGGTCGCTATGAGTCGGAAATGACTCGACGGCACTTAACAACAACAACAACCCTTCCTAAGATGCTACTTTAGGAGCTCTAGTAGCATAGTGCCTAAGGCACTTAAATGCTAACCAGAAGGCTGGTGGTTCAAACCCACCAGCCACTCCTCAGAAGGAAGATGGGTAATCTACTTCCACAAGGAAACCCAAGGAGGGTTTGCTATGAGTTAGATCCAACTTGACGGCAGTAAGTAAGTTGCTATTTTAGAATAAAAATTAGCATTATAAAGATATATTTTAGACCTGGAAGTATCTTAGCATATAGCCTAATTTCCTTTTTTTTACAGATGAGAAAACTGAAACTTTGTGGGCCTATAACATATTCAGTTATTTACTTACTGATTTTTCCATTTCATGTGTTTTGTCTAGAATGTAGTGTAAGAGCACTGAATCGAGTACTACATGATGAAATTCTTAATAAACCTATGGAAACACTTAAACTTGCTATTCCATCAGGAATATATACTCTTCAGAATAATTTACTCTATGTGGCACTGTCAAATCTAGATGCAGCTACTTATCAGGTACTTAAAATACATTTCTAATACTCCATTTAAAAAATAAACAAGCATTAATAATACTAGTTGTTTGCTTTTTTTCTTTTTTCCAGGTCACATATCAGTTGAAAATTCTTACGACAGCATTATTTTCTGTGTCTATGCTTAGTAAAAAATTAGGTGTGTACCAGTGGCTCTCCCTAGTAATTTTGATGACAGGAGTTGCTTTTGTACAGGTAACTATTCAAGATAATTATACCTTTTATTTTTATCACAGTTTCAAAAGCTTATTTATTGTGAATGGAGAATATGCTTCTATTCTTTGTTAGAGTAAATAAATGCTTATTCCTCGTAACTGACAAAGAATTTTAGAGCACTTCATTTGTGAAAGTTATTATATTGGGCACTGTAAGTGGTACAAAGAAATAGATTAAAAACCAAATTATTTGATGTAAAGAAATGAGTAATTTAGTTAGGTGGGGAAATGTGATACTCCATATAAAACAAAGCTGATCTTCTCTGGCTATCTGAAACATTTGAGATTAACCACTCCCTTCTTATTGTCTATCAGCTTCCCTGGTACCATTCTTTCGTGGTTCTTCTCATAACTTTCTAATGATTCCTTATTGGTTTCCTTCATGAGGTCTTCTTCCTTGATACTCTCTTTAGATATTGGGGTTTCCCAGTGTAGATAATAGGACAGCTTATAGGCTTGTTAACTTCTCTTAATTTATTGTCCTTACTTGTTGGAGATTACATTCATTCTGCAGGTTTTTATTAACACTTACATGCTGATGATTCCTCCATCTGTATCATTAGCATTGATTATTGCAGTTGATGTTAATGTTCTTAAGTGCCATTGAGCCAGCTCTGACTCATAGCTATCCTGTGTACAACAGAACAAAATACTGCCTGGTCCTCCACCATCTTCACAGTATTTGCTATGCTTGAGGCTATCACCTCACTTACTATATCAGTCCATCCCATTGAGGGTCTTCCCTTTTTCGCTGACCCTCTACTTTACCAAGCATGATATCCTTCTGCAATGGCTGGTCCCTTCTGACATCATGACCAAAGTATGTGAGACAAAATCTGGCCATTCTCACTTCTAAGGAGCATTCTGGCTGTACTTCCAAGAAAGATCGATTTGTTCTGGCAGTCCACCGTATTTTCAGTATTCTTCACCAATACCACAACTCAGATGCGTCAATTCTTGGGTCTTCCTTATTAATTGTCCAGCTCTCATGTGAATATAATGCCATTGAAAATATCATCACTTGGGTTAGATGCACCTTAGTGTTCAAGGTGACATCTTTACTCTTTAACACTTTAAAGAAGTCTTTTGTAGTAGATTTGCCCAGTGCAATGCAATACATCATTTGATTTCTTGAGTTCGATTGTTGTGGGTGCAAATAAAATGAAATCTTTTTTTGTTTGGCTGTTCAATAGGCCTTAAAAGTTAGCATATCCAACATGAAGAATTCTACATAAGCTGACCTTGTCCTGACTTGCTGGATAATTGCTTACATCATAAATTGCATGTAAGAAAAAAGTTGTTGTCAACTGGTTTGAGACATCTTTGAAGACAGATATCAGTTATATATCCTGTACAATTCTCTAGATTAACTTAAGAACTTGGTTCACATGTCTCCTTTGTAAAGTCTTTCTTAACCCTTCCTCCACCCTCAAGCTGGGTAAGATGATCTTTTCTTATGTGATCCCATAGCACCATCACCCTAACATTTAATTCACTGCTTGTTTGTTATCTGCTTTCACACTAGATTGGAAATACCACGCAAGCAAGAGCTATACCTTATTCACCCCATACCCCTAAAGTTTGAAATAGAGTCAGAATACAATAAATGTGTATTGAGTAATGAAAAAAAAAAAAAAGGTTAACATATCCAGAATTAAACTTTACCTCTTCTCCATCAAACCTGTTTTTGTTTCTCTTTTTTTCCAATCATTATATGGTCAACCAGGAAACTGTCTTAGATTTCTGCCAGTATGTCCAATTAGTTACTAAGACCTTTCTGATTCTGTTTTCTAATCGTTCTTGATTTTTTTCTTGCCTTCTTCTCTCTATTAGCATTTCCCTAGTTCACCTTACTTATTTCACACCTGATCTTTTGCCTCCAGCTGATTTTTTTTTTTACTTGTTTTACCCATCCCCTAAACTCCAGCCTCCACTTAGTCATCATTATGGTGTATCTAAAAACAAATCCAATCATGTAGTTTTTCTGCCATCCAGAGGGGCCATGTCACTTTGCCTAGAGTGTGGTATGCATATCTTGAATAAATATTTTAACATTTATTTTAATGGGTATTACAAAAATATAACTGATATACCAAACCTATATATTTTGATAGATACTGATTACAGTGAGCCAATAAAGTAGGCATTAAGTTTTTAAACATGAGTTGGTTTAAATTAAAATATCAAGTAATTAATAGTTCAGATAGGATGTGGATTTAACAAAAGCCATGAAGATGATATGTAAATAACTGAAGTTTTTATCCTAGAGAATAAAGTCCAGAATGGTTAGCATGATGCACTGGATCATCCATAAGGCACTGATAGTTCCAGTCTCATTTCTGCTGCTCCACAACACTTCACACTCTGAATTCCTATACCTGAACCTGCTTATAGAGACTGTTTTATTTTATTCATTCTCTCTTTTTTTGCTTAGAATGACTCTTATCCTCCCTCCCCCAAACCTTTCCTTGCCTGCCTAATTCTTAAAGACTTGGCTGAGGCATCACTTCTACCAAAGTAATTTCCTAACATCCCATTCTGAGTATTTACTCTTCTTTGCTACCATAGTACCTGGGCAGATCTTTTCCATAATACTTACATTATAGTTAAATTATTTTTTATATATCTTTAGTTAACACTATAAGCAGATCGTTAAGTTCCTAGTAACCAACATCTGTGTTCACTGCTTGTGGTAATTAAGGTTATTAGTCAACTTGGCTGGGCCTGCTTTTGAGTGGCTAGGCAGCTGGATGTAATTGCTCCCCATGATAAGACTGGTAATCAACTTCATGATGGAATCTACTGGAGCCTTAGGGATTTGGTCTGCTTCCGTTGTATAAGAAGCAGCTTTGGGAAAGGTCTGTGCAGCTTTTGCTGTGCTTGGATCCTGCATGTAGCCAGGTTGTTCAACAGCCTACCATGTTGTCTGCCAATCTTGGGAATGTTAATGGACTTGAATTACTTACCTACTGTGTGGTTTGATAATTTGGGGACTGTGCCGTATTACTTGTCAGCCTTGGGTTTGTCAGCCTCAGCAGCCAGCAGCTGCCTGAGTGAAGAGACACTTCTAGCTCCAGTGGGCTGGAAGCAAGAGGAAGAGCTGAAGCCCACTTGGAGGGGCTTTCACCCAGCCCCTAGAGCTGACACCTTGAACTTGGACTTCTAGCCTCCTAAACTTTAAGAGAATAAATTCCTGTTTCTAAAGCTACCCATTTGTGGTATTTTCTGTTAGGGTAGCCCAAAGTTACCGAAACACTGCTCCTTCCATTTCTAGCACCTAGCACAATGCCAGGAATATAACAGTGCACCATAGACATTTGTTGAACTAAACAAATAGCATGCTTTTAAATATAGTTTAAGATCAGATAAAACAAATGACATTTATTTTTACATGTTCAGTTGTCAACTGATTTTTTATTATACTGTAAGTATTAATATAGGCATGGGGGGGGGAGATCACTCTGGCAAAGCTTCAGGTAGGAGGTTGGATTTGAATTAGGCTTTAAAAGATTGTAAACCAAAAAACCAAACCCACTGCCATTGGGTTGATTCTGACTCATAGCGACTCCCATTGGGTTTCTGAGACAGTAAATCTTCATGGAACTAGATTGCCCAGTCTTGCTTCCATGGAGTGGCTGGTGGGTTTGAACCACCAGCCTTTTGGTTAGCAATCAGATGTCTTAGGCACTGTGCTACCAGAGCTAATGAATTCTACATATTGAATACTTGTCATAGGCCAGGCACCCTGCTCAGTCCTAAAATATTATCTCATGTAATGTATAACCATTTAAGGGTAGTTGTTGTTCTCAGACATTTATTTTTATTTGTCAGCCTCAGCTGCCAGCAGCTGCCTGAGTGAAGAGATATCTCTAGCTCCAGTGGGCAGGGAGCAAGCTTAAAAACCTCTGGTGATGTAGTGCCTAAGACATGTAATTGCTAACCAGAAGGTTGGCCGTTCAAACCCACAGCCTCTTTAGGAAGAAAAACTGGGCAGTCTACTTCCGTAAAGGTTTAAAGCCTCAGAAACCCAAAGCGGAGGGTCGCTATGAGTCTGAATTGACTTGATAATAGTGATTTTTTTTTTTTTTCATTTTCAATTCACAGAACAAATTGAAGGTCAGAGAGGTTAAGTAAATTGCTTAGGGCCACACAGAATTAGAACTTAAAACATTTTATGTTCTGCCTCCCAGTCTAGTGATTAGTGTCTGGGGTCTTAAAAGCTTACTAGCAGCCATCTAAGACAGAGTTACTGGTCTCTCTCTGTTTAGAACAAAATAGAAAGAAGGATACCCAAGAATTAGAGAAGGAACTAGAGTATAGGGCTAATTGTCTTCATGAACTACCGCCACCTTTACCTTGAGACCAGAAGAACTAGATGGTACCCAGCTACCACTACTGAATGTTCTGATCAGGGACACAATAGATGGATTCTGATGGAAAGGAAGAAAAATGTGGAACAGAACTTAAAGAAACCAGATTTACTAGACCTATTGAAGCTGGAGGAGTCCTAAAGACTATGGGCCTGAGTTACTACTCTTCAAATGCTGAATTGAAACTTTTAAGCTAAGTAACAATTTAGCTGAAAAAGTAAAGATTGACCTTGAGTATTACATTCTTTTAAAAACTTACATTAAGACCAAATGGACAATAGCTATTTTAAAGCATAGATGAGAAGGTTGGGGGCAGGGAGTTTAAATAATGAGAGTGAAACTACAGACATAATGAGAATGTTGACACAATGTGACAAATGTAACCAAAGGTAATATGTCTAGAAGCTGCTGAAAATGAAAAAGTTTTGCTAGATATATTTTCCCAAAAATTAAATAAAAACCTCTTTAAAATAAAATTTTAAGCTTTTCCCAGTATTCTGTGTTTTAGTAAGATTGAAGCATCATCAAAAAGACTGATGTTGAAAACAAATTCAGATGTGGATAAGAACAAAGATACATTATGGAATGGTAATACTCTTTGATTGGAACA